AGTGCAAGCCATTAGTTTTGTTAAAGATATATAAAAAACTTTTAATGTTAGAGTATAATATAAATTATTAAAGAACCCCTCACCTAAAAGTTTAAGTTGATGGATGAAGTTACATTAATAATTTTTTATATATCTCTAACAAATTTAATGGTGAAAGATTTGCATAATTTACTTAATTTTTTTTTTTGATATATGCATAATTTACTTAATTAGGTAAAAACAAAATGCCGAGTGCCTGGGCGGCAATTGCCATTTCACAATTGGTGTAAATAAAATTACTAATATTTAAACATTATTTTCTAAAAATAAAGTAAGAATTTCGCAATTAGTACCACCAACACTATCTAAACTTAATTGCCCGAAAAAAAATTTAAAATATTACTATTCTAATAAATAATTATGAATACATAGTTATTTCGAAACTATTTATGGATCTATTGCACTCATTCATGCCAAAATTAGGCGTGATTATTCACGTCCAAATTAGGCGTGACTCCCAAGGCATTTACGTCTAATTTAAGCGTGAATAGTCACGCTTAATTTGGGCGTGACTCGTCTGGTGTTAACATGTTGCACAAAAAAGTCAACTTACTAACCGTAAAACTTTGGAAAGCCGTAACTTTTGTCTCAGGTATCTAAATCAGGTAATTTTTTTTGATTCCACAAAACTTTTCGAGATCTATGCAATGATACCACATTTGACATATTTTATCTCTCACAAAACAATTCAAATTTGCAATAATGATATTATAAGAGCGTTTAAACCATAAGCCTCCTAGTTCTGCGTTTGTGATTTAATATAAAAAAATAAAGATTTGATTTATGATTTAAATTAAAAAATCAAAATTTTTAATTTTTAATATAAAAAATAAATAAAGATTTGGTTTGTGATTTAAATTAAAAAATTAAAAAATTGTTATTAATAAGGAAAACAAAATAAAGATTTGATTTGTGATTTAAACTCAAAAACCAATTTGAAAGATCTATATTAATAAAGAAAATAATTAAATAAATATTCTAAATCTTTAAGGAAGAAATTTTTTATTTTTGAAAACCATTGATAAGCTTCCAACGAATCCAACCATAAAGACTCACCCTTTGTTTTGTATCACATACTTTTCCAAACTTTAGATGGACTAATCTACTTTGGTGCCATCTTTATACTATCGTTATTGCAAATTTGAACTTTGTTTGTGAGAGATAAAATATATCAAATGAGATGTCATTGCGTAGATCTCGAAAAGTTATGCAAAATCAAAAAAAGAATTACCTGATTTGGATACCCGAGTCAAAAGTTATGGCCTAATGAAGTTTTACGGTTAAACTATTAACTTTTTGTGTCACGTGTCCACACCATACGATTCACGTCTAATTTAGGCGTGAATAGTCACGCCTAATTTGAGCGTGAATGAGTGCAATAGATCCATAAATATGTTCAAAACAACAACTTATTCGTAATTATTTATTAAAAATGCAATATTTTAATTTCCCCCCCTTAATTGCCCCATAAACTAGTGGCGCGAGTAAAGCCGAGTGGAACAGTGACCATTTTGCCACTGTTGGCAAAAAAAATTACCAGACTGCCACGCCAACAATAAATTTTGCCAAAATGCCACGTGGCATATTTCGCTATACTGTGTAGCGAAATATGTGTGCAAATAATTCGCTACACAGTATAGCGAAATATACCTCGTCAGAACAAAAAATGCCATGTGTCAAACAGGAAGAATTTCGCTACACTGTGTAGCGAAATTCTCCCTGTTTGACACGTGGCATTTTTGGTTCTGTGCATTTTGACGTGGCATATTTCGCTACACTGTGTAGCGAATTATTTGCACACATATTTCGCTACACAGTGTAGCGAAATATGCCACGTGGCATCTTGGCAAAATTTACTGTTAGTGTGACAGTTTGATAATTTTTTTACCAACAGTGACACTTTGATCAGTGTTCCAAGCCGAGTTGCTAATATCTTTTGCTTTTCATTGTTACTTGAGTTTCCATTATATATAGATCTTCGTTGATAGGACAAAGAATATAAAAGGATAACACCAAAGTGAAGCACGACTGACGAGAAGAATTTTAGTAGTCCTTGACTATTATTTACTCAATAATCTGAACCAATCAAAATCATACAACTAATGAGGAGAGAAGAAAGAAGAAATAAAAAATAACTTTTTGTCTAAATGTCACCTCATGAATGAAAGGATCACCGAAGAACACTCACACAGCACTGAAGAACACTCACACAACTAACATCCCTTTAAAGTTATACATAAGAGAGAGAGAAGCAATGATGGAATGGAGGAAACATTATGTGCATATGATACTTGTACCAATAGCATTTCTAATAACTGTTGGTTATCATGCTAGGTTGTGGCAAAAGACTCGCATAGAGCCTTTTTCAACCACAATTGGAATCAATACTCATGCCAGACGCTTATGGGTGCCTACTAGGGATGTAAATGGGCTAGGCTGGGCTGGACTTTGGCCTTCATGGCCCAAGCCTACATAAAAAAAATCAGCCTATCTGGCCTACTGGCCTATTAAAGGCTTTATTTGTAGGTCAAGCCCGACCTATTTTTAAAAATAAGAAAGCCTGACATGGCCTACAGGCCTTGTAGACCTACCACTGCAGATACTAAGCAAAGAAAATAATTGTATAGAACAAAGAAAATTTCATTCATGCATGCACTAGCACTTCTCATAAGAAAAAAAATAACAAACAAGAAAGAGTCAACATAATACCCCAGCTCTAGAATGTATATCATAGAGGAATAGAGTCAAAGAAATAGGAAAAATAAGAAAAATACAATTATTGGGTGCTGAAATAAAGTCTACAAGAGAAATTACATAGGTACTAGTATTGGTACTTTGCCATGCTACATAAAATAAATATTATTTTATTTTTAATAAATCAAATAGGCTAGCCTACAAGGCTTCGGGCCAGACTTGACAAAATTGGCCTACAGCCTATTTGTTAAAAAGGCTTTCTTAAAAACCTAAGCCTACTCTACTTTTCTGAAAGGCTGGGCCAAGCTAGGCTTTATGTAGGCCGGGCTGTAGGCTGGGCTGGGCCAGCCTGACCCATTTATACCCCTAGTGCCTACCATGTTGCAGGTTTAATTACTATCTTGTCCATGCAAACCTGAACTATAAATATAAGGGAAAAATATTTATCCTTTTAGATGACACAACTTATATCCTTTCACTCTCACAAAGAGGTGGGACCCACACTTTTATTTTTTTTTGTCAACTCTCTCTCCTCCTTTATCTATCTCTTTCTCTCTCTTAAAATGACACAACTTTACATCCTTTAAAATGACACACACTTTACCCTAAATATAATTAGTAATTTGTAACATCATCTTTAATTCTTTATCACTCTTGTGAAAGCATGCATATGATAGAGCTACTGCTGAATTTATAATTCTAAACTTAATTTTTACAAATTGCACGACCAATGAAATTCTCACATCAGTCATTGGAATTTGAATTCACGCTCTTAATAAAAAAAAAATTACCTAATTCACACACCCGAGTCAAAAGTTATAGACTTTCGAACTTTTACGGTCAAACTGTGACAGGTGGCAGCACCTGGTGAAACACGTCCCAATGAGGAGTGTCTCTCTCTTGGGTCACGCCCAAATGGGGAGTGTCTCTACAAACCACTCACGTTCTTTTTGGGCGTGTCTCTCCTGATCACGCTCCATGTGGGCGTGTCTCTCGTATGACTCACGCCCCACATGGACGTGTCTTTCTCTACTGGGTCACGCCCCATGGGGGCGTGTTTGACTGCTATATTTTCGTAATTATTTTTAAAATAACTACATATTCGTAATTTTTTATTAAAAAAACAATAAATTAATTTTTTTGCCAAAAAGAGAGACTCGGTGACTAATGAGAAATGAACTTAATTTTGTATGGCTTTGTTTTTTTCCTTTTATATGAGAGGAGAAATTTTTCTATGCCCACGTATTTAAGGTGAGTCCCTTCATTAAGAAATAATAATAAAAAAAAGTACATAGATCGATATGAGTGACATGAGAAATACTTTTTCCGATAACATGAGAAAATATTTTCCCAATTTTGTATTAGGTTATTTGTTTTATAGATGTTGTCAGGAACTTCGGTGGTTGTTTTATGAACATTGGATAAATCCAATTCAATACTTCCCTCTAATTTCTAAATCTTGATGTCATTTCTGTCAATGTTTGCTAGTAATGCATGCTTCTTAATTTAAATATCAAGAATGATTATGCACTTCCAGTTACACGAAGTATTATTTTTATTTTTTATTTTTATTTTCTAATATGATACTACCAGATTTTACAATATAAATTCTTAGGCAAAAATATGTCCCCTCTGAAACAATAAGAAATTGAACATCAATGTTCCTTACGATTGAGGTTATCTACTAAACATTTATAAAGGGAAAACAAAGATTAAATTAGTAATGGTAATTCATAATTAATTGTCACGTTAAATTAAGTCTTCAAATTATAAACCTCACCCAATCTGACAAGTTCTTCTTACTTAAGGTCATTAAGTATAAGAACATCTTGGAAGGTCTTTCACTACTTAAAATAGTTCTTAATCAAGTCGTTTTGGTAGTGACTAATAGTTTCAATAGAGCTGTTTGCTAGAGAATAGAGTTCTTTGCTATAGGAGGGGATCTGGCTGGCTTGCAGTGGTGGAGAAAGGAAGGGCTATGAGACGATCGCCATCCCTTTTAAGTTTAGCAATATGTGATGGGGATGCTATCCTCTATGCGATTGTAAAACAAGGACAAGACCCATACATGAAAAAATGCAGGACCATTTAGTTAAGACGATTGTGTCTAATTTCAAAGATGGAACAACAAATTATACTTGTACAAAAGAGATTGAGTTGATGAAGATTTGCATTTCTTTTCCAACAAATTACTATTACCATATGTTCTTTTTTAGAAAAACAAGATAAAGTAAAAGTAATACTAACAGGTAAACAATATCTTCCCCAACAATTTCCTGTTACCATGTGTTAAGTTACACAGAAAAAATTCACAATATATGAACTAGTCCAAAACTGCGACTCGGTAATTACATAAAAAAAAATTTCTTTAAGCTAGAGTTACAGATTCATACAACTTTTTAAAATAAATTGTCATTGCATGCCATATTTTTAAGAGCATGATCAATGAAAGATTGTTACACGAGATTTACTCCTAATGACATATAGATGGTGAAGCTTGCACATGAGGCTAGACTGCACAAAAGCATAAATCAGAATCAAAGAGTTGTTTCCTCTCTTCAAGTTTAAGATGTATTATATTATACCAAGAAATGCTCATTATAAAAATTGACAAGACTTCTTACCATTCCTCAATCAATTTTTTGAGTAGCAAAATTGCCATTGAGGTTCTGAGCACTTGAATTTAAATGAACCTGTAAAGCACTTGAGCACTTGAGTTCAAAGTAGTAAAAAGGGTTCAGATTTACAAAATTCATAACATTCAATAGACTTAAACACCACATGAATCGTGCAGTACCATCTCTTGGATGCTCGATTGTGAATCATATGAACAATCAAGACCCGCTACTCCTATATTAGGGTCCTATAACAAATAAAGACTATAAGTAGCTTCTTTATGAATAATACTAAAATAATTCTCAACATTACAATGAAAGATGCACTGGTACTTAACAGATATAGCAATACCTGTGTATATGGCACTTGACACATATATGGAAAACAAAATGCAGGTGGAGCTACATTAGCACTTGACACTTGAGAGAGAGATGGAAAACAAAAAGTTGGTGGAGGTGTAGAAGAGGTGCTAAAATCTTTGACTCTTGAAGCTTTGCCTAAACAAGTTTACAATGGCAAAAATAAGCATATAATTACACATAATGAAAAAAAATAAAAATTCCTAATTACATTATTCATTTTACCTTTATAAACATGATTATGTCTTGGAGATTTGGATGTACTAGCACCTTGGGATTTATTATGAGCTTGTGATACATTTCTCTTGCACCTTTTCTTTTCCAACTGACTTTTGAGTCTAGCATTTGTAACTCCCCTTGCTTGAACACATTGTGGATCTAATAATTTATTGTGCTCATCTTTCTCTTCATCACTAATTTTATCATCAACTTCAGTTGTATCCATCATACAAATATTTTTAAACATCCTCTCCAAGCTTTTTATCCCTTGCTCTAAGTGATCTTCAGCCATTTTGGTTGTCTCATTTGTCAATGCACCCTTCGTTGCAAAATAAATGGCCTTTCTCATTATTTGGCTCATACGTAGATTAATTCCTTGTCTTGAAACCTCACAAGCTTGTTTTCCATTGTCACTTATACTAAAACTATCTTTAGCATCTTTTGTCCACCTCTTCAAGATATATTGAGAAGGAATATGAAAAATATTGTGAAAATTAAGTACTTTCAATGCATGAAGACACAGGAGACCAACAGATTCAAACATTTTACAACTACATTCAACCAAGCAATTCGCAGATTCAAATGTCACAAAATATTGTTTGTCATCACCAGATTTAACCAACTTGTAACAAAAGAAAGTACCACTTTCATTGATTTTTTCAATTGCCACGGATAAAGATTCAAACAATTCTTCATAGAATTCTTCAAAAATAACATGAGTATATACCCGTGCAACTTGTGCAGCCATACCTGTAAGTTGTTTTACTCTAGGAGGCGTAGATTGATTGCATTCAAAGTCCTTTTGCAATTCTGAACAACGTCTACGCTCCAAAAAAATTTCATAACGAAGTACAAGTTGAGTAAGAGACATTGTCTTGCAAGTGACAGTGCGGAAAACATTATTCATACTCTCACTTCTTTGTGTTGATAAGATGCCAGCTGAAAAATAATTTTTACTAAATGCTGGGCACCAATTTGCTCGTAAGTCATAAATTTTCTTCAACCATGAGCATTTTGAAATATCAACTTTTGTAAGTAAACGGGTCCACACGTCTTCAAATTCTTTCTCTGATCCACAATTGTAGAGACACCTATTAAATAACACCTTGAAGTCAGAATTTCCCAAATAATAAGAAAGATGGTTGGCTGCATTTTGACCAATATGCCACAAGCAAAGTCGATGTTGAGATTCAGGAAGAACTCTTTTAATAGCATTGGCCATTGCTTGACATTGATCAGTAAAAATTGTTTTAGGTTGCAGCCCTCCCATTGCTTCCAAAAAAGATTCAAATAGCCAAATGAATGACTCTGTTGTCTCATCAAACAAGAAAGCACAACCAAACAAAACACTTTGCTTATGATGATTTACCCCAATGAAAGGTGCGCAAGCCATATTATATTTGTTTGTTCGGTAGGTTGTGTCAAAAATAACTACATCTCCAAAGTGATTATAATCTATCCTTGATATCCCATCTCTCCAAAAAAAATTAGTCATGCGGTTTTCATGATCTACTTGCATTGTATAGACGAATGCCGGATCATTTGCTTGTGAACTTCTGAAATGATTTATAACACTTTGTGCATCTCCTGCGTTACGATTTTTGCTTCTTTCACTTTGTAGGCAATCAGATTTCAAAAATCCAACATTTTCCACTCTTCTAGCAGCTTCAACAAAATATGAAAACACCTTACATGGTTTTACACCAGGATTGTCCATATCTTCAATCATATTAGCATATGCTTCATTTACATGCCTTTGTGATCTTAACATAGCTCTTGCACATGATTTCACAAGATCATGATTATGATTTGGAATGAATTTATAAACAACCCAAGCATCCTTCTCAATTTTGAAACATATCATAGCTTGACAACCCGTTCTTGTTTCTCTCCTATTTTTCTTGTTCACATGTGAAGGGTCCTTCAACTTTCTATACCCTTCTCTTCCACAAACAAATGTCCTTTGGCTTATGCTTCCATCTGCGAATCTACGATATTTTGATTTTCTCACAGTAAAGCCAACAAATTTAGCATAATCATTATAAAAATCATAAGCTTCATCTTCATTTGAAAATATCATTCCAATTTTTGGCTCATATCCATCTTGTTCCTTATTCACAATTACTGGCATCTTTGTTTGTTCGTTATCATAGTCACTCTTTGAAGTGTCCATCTCACTAAAAGAAGACGATTCTGAATAAATAAAATTACTCATTTTGCTTTTTGAAGTGTCCATTTCTCTATTTAAATATTTCAACACAAGAAAAGAAGAAAAAAGTGATGGTTAGATCACACACAAAAATACCTCCAATAGAAAAAAAGTTCAAAGGATTGTTTTGAAACCTGGGTGATTCCATTTGTGTTCGGAGCTTTACGTGTTCATCCGTGCAAACAGGCCACTCCGTCTTTTTGCTTTGCCACAATGGGGGTTGTATAAAGCCTAAAAATAGGGGTTGTTAAATCACAAATAGAGGTTCAAAGTTAGAAAAAATAAATAACTAAATTAAACACATAAACATATTACATCAATAGAAAATCAAATTAAAATCAAAATCAATCTCTAAACACTATAGAATTTGTGTCCTAAGGATAAGCAACAAGAAAATTAAAAAAAAAAAATTACAAAATTGTACCTTTCTCATTCTCTCTACAAAATGCATCTCAACAACCATATAAGATTTTGGAAAAGAGATTGAAAATAATGAAAAAGTGTTTGAAATAGTGAGAAAGGTTCAAGAAAAATACAAATACATTCAGGCAAATGTAAACACTTGAGTGGCAGTAGTACTGAGCTCAGTACTACTGTCGCACTCAATATTTCCGGCAACTAGTTACACTTGGGATTAGACACTTAGAACTTTCCAGTAAAATTGGGTATGGCCACAGACATTGGAGCATTTCCTTTCGATCAAGATCATAGGTAGGTAAAGGGGCATATAGAAGTATGATTCCTATGCTATACTGTGGTGTCTTTTGATGAGCAGAACAACCATATTTTCCAAGTAAAGTTCTTTGCACCAAACAAAACATACAGTAGTATTTCCGTCAAGCGCATTTGCAGATAAAAAAAAGGCTTATATTTAAAAAAGAGATCATGGAAGAAAATAAATCTTTATAACAAACCTGCAGCAGTGTCACCAGATATGCAATTCGACAAAGTGCCGTCCACTGCCATATTGAAAAGAGGAACTTCTGATGCTCTATCCAGACTGACAATTGACTTAGGGGATTTGTTTTCTTGTTTTACATGATCAGCCATATCCAGTTTTGTAGCCTTGGATACAAAACCATCTGCAACTGCTTTTGGGACCTTAGACACTGAAGATGCTTTTGTACTGGTAATCAAATCCTTTTTTATTTTTATCTCTGGAACAATTGGTGTTTTACGTTCAGATTCTAGATCATCTGCAATAACTTGAGGAATTTCATGCAATAAACGTTCCTGTTCTTCTGGACTCTGAAGTTTCTCCCTTTTTTGTAGGTATTCATCCAGTGTACTTCCAATCAATTAAGGAATCTCTGTTTTATAGAAAATCTTTTTTTACATTTTTTTGACTAAAAAGGATCTCTATATAAAGCATTTAGCATAATGTACATAATGATCAGACAGAATCCTAATTGAAAACTTTCATCACTATAAATTTCTCATTGAGTATGTCTACAGTACTAAAAGAAAGTCAAAGCCACAAAAGGGATTTTAATGTAATCAGCAGTCAGCACGCATTACTTTAAACACGAGTAACATCTTTAAGGTGGTATCCAGTCATGCTATGCATAAATCTGCATACTGCCTCAAAGAGATACACAGAAGCGACCTCCTCTTACATGCTACCTGGGCTTAAATCAGGGGGTTAGGCAAGAATTTGAGTAAAAGTCCAGGGTTCATAATGTGGTTCTGATCAGAAAAGATGCATCACCTTAAAAATTATCCTACAATATGAGACTGAAAGAATTTATATAAGAAAATTATTAGACAAATTAAGGAAGAATTATGCAACTGACAGATGAAATACAGAAGAACTGGACAAGAATTGATTTGATGACTCAAACTAAGAAAATATTAGATTTTATTTCATTTATTCAATAGTTTAATGAGCAAATCAGTATCATTATTTAATAATATAAATAAACAAGAAATCATTACAATCAAGGATCATGAAGATGTCATGGGCGACTATGATTGGCATAAACAGCCACTGATTTTTATTTATGACTAATAATACAGTTAAAAATCTATGCAGTATCTACTAGAGAACAAATTTAGTAGTATGACAAGAGTGTAGTGCAATACATTAAATAGGTTCAGCAGCATACGTCACCACATACTGATATTTTCTGATGCAAAAAATGGATACGCAGATATTACCACAATAAAGAAAAAAAGTTATCATCTAATATCAGAAAAGGATATTCTCTATGCAAACCCTTTTCATTAGCTCGATCAATAAGATTTTGTAACCGATCGAGTTCTCTTGGCAGCCCCTGAAACAGATTCACCATATAATAAGAAAGCATTAAAGTTAAGTGAAAATCCAAGCCCATATATCAAAAGCGTAAACATGAATTCTTACTTGAAACAAGCATGTAAAGCACAACACACTGACGAAACAGGACAAATATAATATAAAATTCTATGTAAGCATTGATATTAAACACAGACAAACATGAAGAAGTACATGAAATATATCCAAGGTATGGCTAGCATGTATAAATACTAAACAGTATCTAAGAAGTTCCATAAATCCAAAAGTGTTCTTTACTCCTAAGGTTACTTGACAAATTTAGTACACACCTATAATTGAAAGTGGGGTGATAAAAGAAAAACTACATGATATCCCTAAAGAGAGGCCAATCAATCAACACGGGTTAATTGATTAAAAACGGTCAAGCTATGTCCAAGCACAGAATATGAGCAACTGAGGAATACATTTTGATTTGAAACAGAGTATGTAACTGTTGCATATTGGCACTCACAAGCACAACAGAATTTGAAGATGCTAATATATTTACAAAAGAAATTTGGTAATAGCGTGTTATCTCACTTGATTATCTTTTGATACACAAGATACAACAGTTTAACAGCTACTTAGTTTAAAAAGGGGCAACCTGGAGCTATAAAGTTCCCACTACGTAAAGGAAGGGTCAGACTCATTATGTGGGTCTATATAGTAGGCAGCCTTACCTTGCATTTGCAAGAGACTGATTACTTGATTTAACCTATGACCTTTAGGTCACATGATGACAACTCCAACCGTTGTGCCAAGGCTCCCATTCTTTTACAGGGGCTTAACTTGTGAAAGCAAAAATTACCAATAAAGCTATATATCACATTGTTTCAATGTTTGTGTTGTGTATCTTCTTGTTTCATTGCAAATTCAGCCTAGTAAATAAGAATAATATCGATCTGTTCATTAAATGATATCCACACAATCTGAAGCAAAGAACAATTCTCATGCAAATACAGATGGCTAATATGATGTCCTACTTTCTTGATCAATTGATTCTGTATCTTTTCCCTTTTTCTTGTATATCTTAATATTTACTGTGCCAAAGGACTGGTGTTTTAACAGACGTAAAAACTGCAAATCAACAGACTGTGAGAAAATCACTAAACTGAAACATGAATGAAGCAATTGAAACACAGGGTTCCATAATAGTTCAGTACGTACATGCTTAGTCATATCCTCATGTAATACTCTTGCTGTCTGCTCTATATCTACCTACCATGTATAAACAAAAAAAATAAGGTATTGTTATAATATTCAGATTCATTAAAGCATCAGATATAGTATTTAGGGTAAAACAGAATCTCATGTATAAAGAACACACTGCGCTCTACATTCCTTTTCAGTTCACAATTAAGGAAGTGGATTATTCTCGTGCTGCAGGAGTTTTGTTATTTTAGAAAAATTCAAAGCACTGAAAAGAACTTACAACCATAGGTCTCTTGAGCAAGCCGTCTTTTACTCTTCGCTGCAAATCCTCACACTCCTCCTGAAACCAAAGTCACGGGTCGAAAACCGAAAAATTTAAAGGTAGAATTATACAGATACAATGGAAGGCATAAAAGTTCTCAAACATGATAAAAATCATTGAAAAGATGGTTCAAAGCAGTCGCAGAAAGTTGTGATTCTTATGCAAAAGTACACTATTTGTCAGCATGTAATACCCCATATTTTTTTTTAACCTTATGTCTTTTAGTTAATTTGAGGAGCTCAAACTTTTAATTTAAATACCCTAAGGGTTACATATAATATATGAAAACATCCTAAATTTTTCTAAGAATTAAGATTACATTCAACAAATTTAATATAAAACTATCTTACATTCACCTAGAGCATTACGTATACCAAATTTTACATAAAATATAATCTAAAAATACCTAGGGATTAGGATTACATCCAAGTTTTATATAAAAGAAATAACCTACGAATAGGATTACATATAACAAAATTCATATCAATATAATCTATGACTCTCTAGGGATTAGGATTACCTGGTCTCCGTTTCCGCTAACTTCTAGAAGAAAAGAGTAATTTGGGGCAGAGAATCGGTTGGTAACCAGAAGAAAGATAATAATAAAAATAAAAATTTGAAGTGAGGAGAGAGAGTGTAAAGGAGAAAAAGAGTAGTGGAGAATTATTGAGGATTCAGAGTGAATTGGTTTGGTTAGGTTACGCCTCTATTTATAGTTAAAGTTTTGGGCTCGGATATGGGTCTCGTGCAATTATTTCCTTATTCCTCACTGATGTATCTGGCTCAGATATTGGCTTCATACAATATTTTCTTTTTATTCTTAATTTCTTAGAATATAACTAACTTATTTGCTAACTTAAGGCTGACTCATGATTGACTCATTATATCTAATCAAATTACTAATCAATCATTACTAATCAAACATGAATACATAAATCATCAATCAATTAATAAATCAATTAATCATAATTTATTATCTAATATATATATATATATATATATATATATATATATTATTTTATTATAAATAATCTAGAGTATTACAAAGTATCAAAATTATTTTCCAATAGCACTCATATCGCACAAAATTATTTTATCAAAGGTAAAATTTATACTTTGTTATCTATCACCATAAAATTTATATATATATATATATATATATATATATATATATATATATTATTAGTACTAATTTATAGTTTATTATTATTTTATTATTATTATTTTTATTATTTTATTAATAAAAATATGGGGTATTACACAACATCTATTAAAATTATTTTAGCTAGTAAAACAAAGTTAAAATAAAAAAACATGAGATGATTACGAATGAAAAAATTATAAGCTTATTAATGGAGATCAAAAGGAATTTCAAAGTAAATCATGGGGTTGGGAATTCATATGACATTTATTTTGTATTTTGTTTTGGGGAAGGATATTGTAACAACCAATTAGTGTTACTACCAATCAATTTCACCGTTAGATCATTACGTTGATCCAACAGTTATATTTATTTCTATCTTTGTATAGTTATGATTCCACATATTTAATATTTTATATTTATTTCTACCTTTGTATAGTTATGATTTTCCATATTTAATGCTTTCACATTAAATATGGGGAATCATAACCATACAAAGATGAAAATAAATATAATCGTTGGATCAAAATAATCGATATAACGGTGAAATTGATTGGTAGTAACCAAGGAAGCACGGACACTTGTAAAGACAGGAATAGTCAGGTCTGACACGCTCCGACACGGTGTCGGACACGCGGTTGACTTTTTCCGACACGTTGACCATTTCGACACGCGAATTTGACCGTGTCCGACACGGTCAAATGGCATTTTCGTAAAAATTTTTAATTTTTTTTTTAATTTTTTTTAAAAAAAATTTATTTTTTTAAAAGTTAAAATATATTAATAAAGCTTCCACCTGATCATATCAATTTTATCTTTTTGTCTTTTTTCCCCTTAAGTAGATAAGAGATCATCTCAACATCATTGTTGTCAATTCCTATCACGCTCTTGTTGTTTCTTCTTCTCTCTGATCTCTCTCTAATATGATTTGATCTCTCTATCTGATATTATATATCTCTCTCATGCCAGTTCTTATTTTTTTTATTAAAGCTTCCATCTTTATAACGTGTTGAAGGGTATTATTAATTTAGTTTCATTTTTTTGTTAAATTATTAAATATTAAATGAAATATACACTATACAAATTAAAAATATTATTTAATATTAAAACGTGTCCCAACGTGTCGAAATCCATAATTTTTTAGGATTGACGTGTCGGAGTGTCGTGTCGTGTCACGTGTCGCGTGTCGTATCGGTGCTACATAGGTAGTAACATTGGTAGTAACACTAATTGGTTGTTACAATATCCTATCCCTTTTGTTTTAGCTTAAGAATTTCCACATCATTTAGCTCCACTCTCTAGTTTTCAGATTTCCAAATTATTTTTAAGCTTTGTATTTTCCTTTATGACTGAAATATTGATTTCAGATTTTCCTTTGTACAATTATTACATTTTTAGGTTTTTCCTTGAGACTAATTATAAATAAATCTTATTGCAGGTTAGAATGAAGATATAGTTTCATAAAATAGCAGCAGCAAGAAGCACATCCCCTGATCCACAAAGTTTAGGGCAAGGTACTAGCTTTATTAATGACTAACAGGTATACTTCATATGGGTTTTTTCCTTCTTTTATATTGTGCCTGTCACATCCCCTCCTTTACTTCAAAATTTTAGTCTGGCATCAATTGGTACTGGAATAAGACCTTGAAGCAGTCTACTTTATCCTTTTAGTTCCTCTAAACTGGCTTGGAAAAGTTATTTGAAACCTGCATCACTTTCTAGAACTTTATTAATGATAAGATATTTTCTAATTCTTCTCTAATTACTGTAGTCAGAAAGAAGACAACATATTCCATTATGCTGCATCGACATCAACAACACCTTTATCCTAAACTAGTTGAGGTCGGTGTCTGATGAACCCAAACGAAAAGTACAAAAAGATTGAGAGAATAAAAAAGGATAAAAATGAAAATTAAAAAAATATAAATAAAACTAGCAATTAAAAAATAGAAATAAACAATTAAAAATAAAATAAAGTGAAAATAAAGATAAATAAAAGAGAAAAATACATAAGAGAAAAAAATGGAAAAATAAAAATAAATAAAAACATTAAAGAAAGAAATAAGAGAAGAGAAATAGAAAGGAAAAAAGAGAAAAGGTAGAGGTAAAGAAAGAAATAAACAGAGATATAGGGGGAAATGACTAAAGAGAGACTCTCTGGAACACAAGAATAAAAACGGGCTTAACCCTCCGCAATGCTAATAGCTTTCCACCAATCTGTCTTAAAACGGCTATTTCACCCATTAGGGGTTTTTATTCCTTTAATATACCAATTTGGTATATGGTTCAAGGTATTTACGAACGGGGGTCATTAAGTGACGCGAGGGGGACCCAGCGTCACTGAGTGTCGCTACCAACCCCCCGCGTCACTCACTTTTTTATTTTTTGCTTACTTTTTTCTATTGAGTGCCCCCCTTCCCTGAGGCACTCACAGAATTGTGCCAAGTGGCACAATCTGGTTACTCCTATTACCGTAAAACTTCGGAAAGCCATAACTTTTGACTCGGGTATTCAAATCAAATGATTTTTTTTTTTTTATTTCACATAACTTTTCGAGATCTACCCAATGACACCTCATTTGATATATTTTACCTTTCATTAATATAGTTCAAATTTGCAACACTAATTACACTTTTTTACAGATTTGAATTATGTTTGTGAGAGATAAAATATGTTAAATGAGATGTCATTGCATAGATCTCGAAAAGTTATGTGAAATAAAAAAAAAACATCTGATTTGGATACCCGAGTCAAAAGTTATGGCTTTTCGAAGTTTTACGATAATAGAAGTAACAAGATTGTGCCACTTGGCACAATTCTGTGAGTGCCGCGGGGGAGGGGGGCGACACTCAATAGGAAAAAGTAAAAAGAAAAAGAAAAAGTATGAGTGGCGCGGGGGGTTGGTAGCGGCACTCAGTGACGCTGGGTCCCCCTCGCGTCACTAAATGACCCTCATTCGTAAATACGTTGAACCAAATACTAAATTGATAAATTAAAATCACAAAAAACCCCAATGCGTCAAAGAGCCGTCTTAAAACATATTGTCCGCCAATCTATATCCTACTCCATGAGGTCTTGTTTTACTATATTCCATTATGATGCATTGTGTGTGTGTGTGTGTATTTTTTTCCAATTAGCATTTTGGTATAATTTTCATGCATTGCTATCGCCAGAACAGATACACATGTCACATCTATAATTTAACTATGCATTATTAAAAATTTATATTATGTCAGGATACCAAATGATAGTACAGCAGAGAATCAGCAGTCAGAAACAGCAAAAAAACCATCAACTTCCAGTTAAAATGTGCTACTTTAAAACTGTCAATGATATAATCCATCATTATTCCATTCATTTGTTAAAAATTGGTTAAGAAAGATGGTTCCAGACAGATAACGCTTTTGGCTTAGCACCAGAGTTTACAAGGATTGCCCTCACCATTTCCCTCGCTAGTCAAGATTTAATGGGGAGTGGTTTTTTTTTACATTAAAATTAAGGCAGATGAAAAGTTGCCCAATTCCAAGTTCAGGACATGGCACAAGCTGTTTAAAATGGTAGATATGACTTACCAATAAAGGATCACTAGCATGAATTAAACCTAAGATCTTTGAGTAAATGCAATTTGATCTGACTAGTTGAGTTAGCTCTCACTGACAGAGTCCAGAATTTTTACTAAATAAAGCTAAAATAGCAAGATAACTCAACTGTACCTCAGAGAAGTTAACATCTGAAAGCATGTGAATGCTGATGTCTTTGATGAAACCAGAGCTTTGTAGGAGAATTTCCCCATCCACTCCAGAGCTCTTCTTTATACCTGAAAGATAGCCCAGAAAAAACAGTATTTCAGCTAATTAGAAGAAATATATTCCATCGCCTAATTTTTCTACATTTGTCATATTCAACTGTCAAATGGCATATCAAATTTGCAAATAAATAGTAGATGAATGTGCAACAAAAGAGAAACAATTCCAGGAAGGATCCCATGGAAAATTAATTGCAAACCAAAGGATTAGATTGTTTTGTTCATTTTCATTCATTGTGAATAGTCCAAATCGTTCAATTAGGATTAATCAAGCCCGACAAATGACCCATACTAATGACGTCAAAAAAGAGTACATTATAAGTAGAATTTGGTGTTCTTCATTTATTTTAATCGCGCCCAACATGAGGTTATTGATTTTGTTCATTGTCATTCATTGAGAATTGTCCAAATCGTTCAATTAGGACTAATCGCACCTGGCATTGACCTATGCTAATGATGTAAAAAAAGTGTACATAATAAGCACATCTGAGTTTGATTCATTTATGTCAATCCCACTCGGCATGAGGTTATTGGATTACATTGTTTTGTTCATTGTCATTCATTGCGAATAGTCCAAATCATTCAATTTGGATTAATCACTCCTGGCAAATGATGTATACTAATGATGTCAAAATAGAGCACGTGATAAGTACAATTTGGTTTTCTTCATTTATTTGATTCCCAACCAACAAAGGGTTATTGGATTAAATTGTTTTGTTCATTGTCATTCGTTGCAAGTAGTCCAAATCATTAAATTAGGACTAATCAAACCTTGTATTGACCTATACTAATGATTTTAAAAAGAACATAACAAGTAACTTTGAGTTTGCTTCATTTATGTTAATCGCACCCGGCATGAGTTTAATGGATTACATTATTTTATTCATTGTTATTCATTGCAAATAGTCCAAATCGTTCAATTAGGACTCGCTTGACTACTTTGCCAGATCTTCACAATGCATGTGACCTATACTAACGATGTCAAAAAAGATTACATAATAGTACTTTTGGGTTTTCGTTTTTGTTGTTGCTTTTACTTCTGACAAGCACATGTATTAAAATTAAGCAGTTGATGAGCATACCTTTCAAAGCAACTTGTACATTTAAAGTCATAAAAACGCATTTATAATAATGCAATGTCATAATCAACCTACAACAGCCAAATTACCTGTGACTTGCAGAAGCTGGAATGGATTTTTCTGAAGGTAGTCATTTGGGTCACGTCTGATTCTTATGAAGCTTCCAACTACTTTAGTCTCAAAAGTTTCAGGGTCCAGTAGAAGCTCCTCAACTAGACTCTTCTTCAAATAAACAAGTTTGATGTTGTTAGGAATGATGGCAGCAAAACAGCTCCTTGGTTTTTCCATAAACGGTATCTTCGGATGACTCTTCCTCTCTGAACCTGTCGTTTTCGGGGTTTCATACACATCATCTTCCGAGTTAGAAAAAATATCATCAGAAGATTCTTCACAGTTCTCAGCAAAGTGTGATTCAAGCAGGTAATTAATTTTCAATCGGCTAATGGCCTTCCTTCTGAACAGCAAATGAAGCCTCTCATCACACACAATTCTTTTCTTTTCTGTAGGATGATGAAGGCCATTCTGCTTAACATACTCATTGACAATCTTAGCCACCTCACTTTGAGTCATCTGGTTGCTTGTGTCTCTGCCAATGGATTCAAGAAACCGAATAAGGGAAGTTGATCCCCATCCATCATACTCCTTTTTCTTTTTCCTATATTTCCTTTTCTTTGTCATAGGACTCTGAACCTTCTCACTAATTTCCTCCTTCCAGAAAGAATCAACATGACCTTCATCAACATCCATCCTTTTTATCATAACCCTAAATTCGATCTTCTCCACTGATACTCAGTCTTCTACCTCTCAAATTTCTCCATTCCAATGTTTTTCTCTGTTGTCAACCTCTAAGAAAAATTTAATTGGAAAAAAGGGCATAAGTTGGCAGCAAAAAATAGTCAAAAAATAAAAATAAAAAAATAAAAAATTGGACATGCATTTTCTGTTGTTGAAACCTAAAACAAAGAACAAAGAAGTACTAAGAATCAGAAAATATAAAAAGAAAATTAAAAAAGAAAAAACACATTCAACGTTCTCCACTGATACTTAGTCTTCTACCTTTCAAATTCCTATGTTCCAATGCTTTTCTATGTTGTCAATCTCCAGGAAAAATTTAACTGAAAAAGAGAGAGAGAGAGAGAGAGAGAGATAAATTGGCAGCAGAAAACAGTCCCAAAAAGAAAATATCAAACATGCATTTTCTGTTATTGTTGAAACCTAAAACAAAGAAGAACTGAGAAGCAGCAAGAATCAGAAAATGGGATAGGTTATTTCACGTGCCTTTCCTTTTTTTCCAAGTCATCTATTGATCTTCACTACTATTAGATGAGAATTTCAAAAGAAGAGATAAAAAAATAAAATTATGATACGATGGTATTGAAGATAAATAGATAAGGTGAGGGAAATAGAATATCCTATCCAATCAGAAAATATAACAAGAAAGTTAAAAAAAAAAAAAAAAAAAAAAACAAACACACATTCAGAAGCAAAACGAAACGAACCAGACCGACAACATCGTCGTAATCAACGAAATTAAGAACAAGAAAAAACATGGGGAACATAGAATTGACATAGAAGAACGGGAAGAGAGAAAGAGAGAGAAAATTTACCAAAAGAGTGGAGTGTTGAATGAAGCAGCGTTGGCCTTGTGGCTCGCTGAATAGCAATTTTTGACGTGTCTGTCTCATAGAATTATTGAATTGAAGATAAAATTACATTAAACCTTTAACTAAATGCCCCAAAAAAACAAAATGATAAGAAAATTATTTTTAAGTTATAGCTTAAATTTTATCTTTTACATAAATATAAATTTTATCTTATACTAAGTTATAGCATATATATTTTTCTTATATAACCTCATATAAGACTTATATACTTTTATATATGGAAGAGATAATTTTATTTCCAATAAAAAATATTAATCTCTTAATTTTTTTGCATAATAAACGGGAAATGGTTATCAATACATTACTCCATTTGACTTTTTTTATACTTTATACTATTTTATATTAATTTTATTAGATTATATTAAATTATTTTCATTTAATATATTTCATATAGAAATCACTTAGTGGTCATAAATATGAGGCATTTATATTATCTATCTATTTAGTCTTCTTATCCTTATTACTTATTTATTACATGTTTAATCATTCAATTATTTTTCTCAACTAACTAGAATTTTTGTTTTTCTCTCTTTCGGCCTTTTTTTTTCGGTAAACAATTGTTGATTTAAATACAATCTAACCATGAGTTTTCAATCTGCGAATCTTCACAAAATTTCTTGCTTTACTTTATCTCTTGAGTTTTCATCAAAAATTTAGAATGGCTGTGAATCTTAGCACTGCGAGCCCTATCGCGGTGGCTTTACCTGGGAGCTCGACGGAAATCTCTTCAGAGGAGGCTGATAATCTGAAGAGGAGTACAAAGAAGTACAAAGGGGGAGATGTTGCTTTTAATCACGATCAGACAATGGTTCCTAGAGAAGAACCATGGATGGAAGAAAAGATGTCTTTCAAAGAGATGCTCATGAGGCATAACGGAGAATGGGAGATGCATGAGGATGTCGAGGAAGTAGTATCAGAAGCAGAGGAGGAAGAGATTCAGGAAACTCAAGCAGGCGCAATGGTTGCAACGAATCAGCCTGAGATCCTTTGTCAAACTGATGAAGATGGCAGAACTAATTTCAATCTATCATATGCCTTTAAGAAGCGTGCTTGGAAGCCATGGAAGAAGGCGATTTATGTGAAATTGTTGGGGAAGAAGATAGTGCTTCCAGTCAGGAAGAAGAGGTTGGAAAATATGTGGGCAAGGGAGGGACAAATATTTGTTATTGATGTTGAGAATGGGTTTTTTCTTGTGAGGTTCTCAAAGGAAAAAGATTTAAGCCATGCGCTTACTCGAGGCCGTTGGGTGATTTTTGACCATTATTTAGCTATCAGGTCCTGGGAGCCTGATTTTCATCCTCTCTCTGCCTCAATTAGCCGTATTATGGCGTGGATTCGGCTACCAAGTTTCCCAGTGGAGTATGTGAACACTAAGTTGATCAAGGAGGTTGGAAACTGGCTTGGTAAGTTCATTAGAATGGATGCTACAACGACTTGTCTAGCGAGGGGTAAGTTTGCCAAAATTTGCGTGGAGTTGGATTTAAGTAAACCTCTGTAGGCTGAGTACAAAATTGAGGGGAAACTAAAGAATGTTGAGTATGAGGGATTACATCTTGTTTTCTTTGCATGTGGAAAATATGGCCATCGAACAGAGAATTGTCTTGTCAAAGCTTCTACGATGGAATCCCATTTTGGAGATGTGAATCTGAAGCAAGGAGAGGAAGGAATTCCAGCTGATAGTGAGAGTCCTCATCCTAACAAAATTGATGAGAGATTTGGGCCCTGGATGTTGGTAAATAGACAGAGGAGAGTCAACAGGAATGGCCCAGCTCAAATTGAGAAGAATGAAGGAATACCATGCATGTCTGTTTTGAGAAGGGAGAACAATGTGGAGCCTAGATTTAGTGTGCTTCATCAAATTGAGGAAGAGGATGACAATAATGTCAATGAAAGGACTTTACAAGTTGGCAAAGAGCAGGGAAGTCGAAGTTCCCATATGAATCGTTGTGGAGGTAAGTCCCCTGTCAAAGTTATTGAAACATCTTCAAACTTTATGTTGATTGATGAAAGTGGTAGTATAGTGGGTAAGGGATATGGTAATTCTGGGGAGTTTAGAAGTATAGTTGCAGATGCTAGTGTCCATAACAAAAAAGTTCAGGTTCTTTCAGTCATATGGTAGTAGATAACCAGTGCTTTCAGAATGTTGGAAGTATAGTTATGAATCAAGGAGGAGGTCTCTTCAATCCAAAATAATGGCTCAACTTTAACAGTTAGTAAGAACCCTCAGCAAAGAGTTCATATGATTGAGCATTTAAAGATGCCAGGCCTTAAGCCCCCTGATGCAGTTTCTGGCAGAAGAAAGCGTCAAGATGGGAAAGGAAATAATGTTGCTCTGACAAGGAACCAGCAGGTGTTAAGTTCAGAAAGGAAAGTTTGGCAGGTGCAATCTAAGCCTGCCCCTTCTCCTAAGAAGTTTTAATGTCTTTGATTTTGCGGCTAAGGCTAGTTTAGGCCGCACTCTAAAATTGATGGTGGATAGAAATAAGGCTTCTGTGGTTGTTCTTATGGAGACTAGAACCAGTAGTATGATCAGTTGTAAGATTATGAAGAAGATTAATTTTGATAAAGTTATTGCTGAAGAGGCCAGTGGTTTTGCAGGTGGAATTTGGGTTCTTTGGGACTCTAGGAAGGTTTCAATCCAGTTAATCAGTAGTGCTTCTCAATTTATTCACATGAAGATTGTATTTGATAACAGCAAAAGTTTTTTATGTACTGCAGTTTATGCAAATCCCAATGAGGAAATTAGACATGGTATGTGGGAGGAAATCATGCAGATTAGCTCATCTATTAATGAACCTTGGATTTTGGGGGGTGATTTCAATGATATTCGATGCAGCAGTGAAAAAAAGGGGGCGATCCAGGCTTGACTTAGCTAAATGTGGTAGATTTTAGCAATTCTTAGATACATGCAGAGTTGAGGAAATTGAGGGTTTGGATGCAAAATTTACATGGCAGGGTCCTAAATGGCATAACTTAGACAGGGTTTTCAAGAAATTGGATAGAGTTTGTGCTAACTCTCGTTGGAGGATCAATTTTGAGGATGTTGATGTTAGGATACTTCCTAGAATCATGTTTGATCATAATCCTTTGGTTTTGTCTATTTTTAAACATGTGAAGCATTGGGCTTATAGACCTTTTAGATTTTTGGCCTCTTGGTTAGACCATCCCTGTTTTGGTACATTTATGGATGATAATTGGAATTCTAACCTTCCAGTGAACAATATGTTATTAAATCTTATCTCCCCTCTTAAGACTTGGAACCGAGAGATTTTTGGGGATATTAACAACCGTAAGAGTGAGTTGAATCAAAGAATTGCTAACATTCAAGAACAAAGGGAGGCAATGGATAGTCCCAATTGAAGGAAGTTGAGGAATTTTTACAAGGGCAATTAAATATTACTCTTAATCAAGAGGAGTTGTTGTGGTATCAGAAATCAAGACACAAGTGGATTATTGATGGGGATAAGAACACAAGGTTCTATCATCTGAAGACTATCATCCATAGATCTCATAACAAGATCCATAAGCTTCGGAATAGTACTAATGATTGGATAGATGATCCTTCTATTTTAAAAAATCATGTTTGCCAGTTTTATAAGAATTTGTTTGAGGGAGAGGTGGTTGATCGTAGATGGATCATTTCTGATAATATGTGGCCAATTTTATCTCAAGATGAATTGAGAAGGATGGTTATGCTACCTAATGATTATGAAATCAAACAGATTGTTTTCTCTATAGGAGCTTACAAGGCCCCTGGGTATGATGGTTTCCTTGCTATCTTTTTTCAAAGGAATTGGGATAGATTGAAAGTTCAAGTTTGCACTGCTATTAAGAACATGTGGTCTAATCTAGATTCAATTGCAGAGGTTAATTCAACTCTTCTTGTTTTAATTCCTAAGGTTAAGAATCCTAAGCTCATATCTCAATTTCGTCCGATTTCTCTCTGTTCGGTTGTCTATAAGATTTTTTCTAAGATTATTGTGGGTCGGCTTAAGCATATTATGGAAAGGGTGGTGTCTCCTTATCAGGTGAGCTTTGTTCCAAACAGACAAATTCAAGATAATATTACAATTGTCCAAGAGTTAGTTCATTCTATGAGCAAGATGAGAGGCAAGAGGGCTTATATGGCTATTAAAATTGATCTTGTTAAGGCTTATGATAGGGTGAGTTGGAATTTCATGCGCAAAACCTTAGATGAAATTCACCTTCCTGAGTCCTTTGTCAATATTATCATGAATTGTATTTCTTCTACAGGGATTAATGTTCTATGGGATGGGGGTAAAACTGATGATTTTATTCCTACAAGAGGTTTGAGGCAGAGGGATCCTCTATCACCGTATCTTTTTGTACTGGCTATGGAGAAGTTGACCCATATTATTACAATTACTGTTAATGGGGGATTATGGAAGCCTATGCATGTAGGAAAGGGTGGTCCGAAGATTTCTCACCTTGC